TGTTATCGACTTTGTTATCGATTTTGTAATCGATATTTTGATAGATTTTGTAATCGATTTTGTAATCAGTATTGTTATCGATTTTGCTATCGATTTTGCTTTCGATATTTTTTCGATTTTGATATCAATATTTTCATCGATTTCTTTATCGATGTTTTTATCGATTTTGCTACCGATATTATTATCGCTTTTGTTATCGATATTTTTTGCTTAGTGTGTGCTTTTGTTTTTTTACTTGGATATGCTCTTAACCATACCACGTATTCTACGTTTAAATTTAGCGGCTGTATCTCCGGTACAGCCTGCAGGCCAAGACGAAGGCGCTGGACTGTTCCTTTTTTTTTGAAATGTCAGTTAGGCTACTCTGGCCCTCATGGCCTTATATGTTGATGATTCAAGTGTATTATTTTTATTGGAAATATTGGAGTCAGGAAATTATATCCCCAAATAGAGTAATTTATAGGGATTTTTAATTTCACCAAACAAGTTCTATGTTGCGGTTGTTTTATGTATTTAGAAAAATACCGACAAATAGGCTAACCATTCTACATACATATGTATATATGTATGTACATTAGCATATAAATAATTTGTTTACCTTAACTATATGTATGTAAACTTATATCGTCACATAATTTCCCGTGCTTGAAATGGTGACAGTTTTCACTGATCTGTCACTCATTCTGAAGAGATGTCTTTAAAAATATCCGCGGCATTGACTAGTCTGAAGTGCTTAGAGCTGCGTCTGCCTTCAGAATATTAATATAGTAGGTGCATACATACCTATGTAAATATGTGAATTGCACTGAAGTTGCATATACACGGATCTTAAATATCTGTCATATTCGTAGTTGAAAGTGAAAAATATCAAGTTACAGGAAATTTGATGTGTATGTATGTGTGTATTCAATAAGCTTAGGCTGTATGCCTACGCTGAAAAACTCTTTGCACTCGCAAGGTACACACATAAGCATATTTTGTGGTGCTTTATCCGAGCTCGAATACTCCTTCTACCCTTCACTTACAAAACACGGCTTCAAATCTTAAACAAACCGTTCTGTTAGTGGCATCCGTGGACTTCAACGGAATTTGAAAGAAGCTAAAACCTAAGACTTTGGGTGAGCTTTAATTTAGTGACTTTACGGTGGTATGTTTGGGTGTAAGAACTGAGATCTGGTGGGTAAGTACTTGAGGCCAATCATCTTTGAGACAGAAAAGTGCGCTGTACCATTGCACAGGGCCGGTGTTCGAGCCCAGTTTCCGACTAACATAAAAACAAAAGAAAAGAAACAGTTTTTTTTCTAAAAGCGGTCGCCCCTCGGCAGGCAATGGCTAACCTCTGAGTATATTTCTGCAATAAGAGCAGCTTCTCATTAAAATACAATCGCCGTTCGCAGGTAGGTTCGTAGGTCCCACAACTTTGTGTGACAATATGAAGACGCCCGCCACAAATCGGAGGAATAGCTCGGACAAACCGTAGTGTATTTAGTAAGCAACAAACTATTATTTTTATTATATGTAAATGCGTCGTACAAAAAGAACTTTTTTTCGAAATTGCCTTGTAAAAATAATTTAGAATCAGTGGGGCCATTCACAAAGAAGTTAGCGACAATTTTCGGATCGATATCGCACGTTGCCGACGTGTGTTATGAATGTCGCAAGGTTGAGATAGCGAAACGATATTTGACGCTAACTCATTTGAGAATAGTCCCACAGGGGTACACGTCGAGGTTTTTTTATTTTCTGGTACGGTCTGATGTATATAAAACTCTATACCAGAAGAAGCTCGATATCTGGATTTCACAAGAATCTGTTTTTTTTTTTGTAACGCGTGATTTCGCGCGATGAAAAGTAAATCTCATTTGTATGGCAATAATGCGTGAAAAAGATCGTTGTTGAAGAAAAAAAAACTAGTTATTTAACGTAAAATATTTACCAACACAAGTAGTCAATCGGATTAGTACCAAAACGCTTTGTTCATTGAAGAACAATCTGAACAAACACTCAACACATACATACTTATATTTTCTATATACAAAATGTGCGTATGTATATACATACATACTTATGTATAAGTACGTGGTCCACTTTCATACAAACTATGCACATATGCATATGCACCATGTACATACATAAATATTTGTCCCAATGTGTAATGAGGACGCCTCTTCAGTTGTTAATGTGACAGCCAAATTTGACATCAACGCTCGCGCCATCAATTGACAAAATACACCTGCGCCCATATGGAGCATAACAAGGAGTGCTTCTGGAGTTGCAGCGGTGCTGACATCACTTAAATCTCTACATACTGGTGGGTACATATGCATAAAAAACATTCAAATTTATTTATTGTTTAAAATTTTGTGTGTGGCTAGCCGTGAATGTACATATGTATGCACGTATGTATGAATGTATGTACAAAAGTGTATTATCTAACAATAAGTGGGCTATTATGCGGCAAATTAAGAAGAAATAACTCAACTGTTTTAAATTGCCTATGAAAGAATTGTCGAGTAATGCAACAGAATAGGCGTTTTTGTTCTGTGGGGAATTAACGGGCGGAGTGTCAGCTAATAAAGCACGAATACATTTGAATTAATTTTTTGAACACTATCTCTCGATTTTGATATTCACAATGCTCAGTTAACAAGAGTTTAAACCAGCATGTTTCCGTAGTTGAACTCTTGTGAATTTAAAAATTTCTTTGCGAAACCAATTTCAAATTTGTATGGAAAAGTATTGATTTTTATAGTACAACCAGCCACCAATGTAAAACCGTAGAACGTGTCAGCTGATGAGATTCTCGTGTTAACGAAAACTCACCACCGCATGACGGTGACGTTGACGTTGCTTCTCTCTCTCTCTATCAACAGCAATTTCATATACTGATACGGACAGCAGGTACGGAAGGGCGCTCCGTCGGTGGCTGGTTGAGCTATTAGAATTTGTATATTTTCATTCTATATGAATTTCCATAGCTAGCTACATATGTAACTGTGATTATAAATTTATAGTTAAACTTTTGTTAGCGGTTGACTTAACAATGGTTTAACTAAAAGCTCAGTTAGTCTAGACTTAACTTAATTTAACTTAACGTAAGAAATCATCAATGATTACTCAACACATCAATTTAAGCCAGAAGCAGAAATATTTTTTTTTTGTATTTTATTTTTCAGCTGTTTGACAGTTTGCCGCCTAAAATGCCACATAAAAAGAAAAAAATAATGCAAAAAAAATATACGTGCGTTCATTTATTTCTTTATGCAAAAACGAAAATCTGGCAAGCCTGATTCTCTCACCGCTCTCAATTTCCGTAAGGCCGTGACTTAAGAATCTAAAACTTACAGGTTCTTAAGTTTCTTACGGTAAGTTAAGTTTTAATTAACCGCTAACACAGTCTATCATATAGCAGGTTGGCCAAAATATTAAGTTTAATTAAGTTACGAAAATTAAGTTTAGACTTTAAGCACTGTGATTTCGGCCATTACAGAATCGTTCGTATTTAATTTTTCCTAATTCTACATACATATTTACCATGCTTTGTGGAACACCTTGCATCCTGAAAATGCTTGCACTCTCTTGCAATGCATCCTGATTTTCTGCACTCGCTGCGCCACCTTCAGCTAGCACTTTCAATTGTTTGATATACATCGTCGCTAAGCGTAGTGTATCCAATTTGGATAATTTTGTGTCTGGCGGAATGTTGGGCAGTTTTGTTTTCAGTCTTCCAAAGGCACTGGACAAGACACGCATTCGCGCTCTCTCTCTTGCATTGGCAGCGTTTCGTTGCACAGGTGGATTTCCGTTTTTGGAACCTATTTTTGTGGAAAGCAACAATAGTGAGTTACTAATATTTAGTAAAATTCATGTACAAATAAATATTAAAAAATGAAGGCTCGAAGATCAAATATAAACGACATCCTTTCGGATATGCCATTAATCCTAGTCGCATTTCTAGACAATGAGCCAATGATGGGATAAAATTTTATACCAAACGGAGGTAGGGGTTCTTCTTAAAATTCTAGGTAAACAGCTAGATTCTCATATCTGACAATGTTCTCCATACGCTTACTCTAAAAAATCTGTGGACACTTCTCAACGTAATGGTGCCAAAATTTGCAAAGATAATTGCCTACAGATAGGGTCGTTCAGGTCGTTCAGTCAAGTGCGGCTGAAACGGCCGATAACGGAATTCGTAAGGCTCCTTTCTGTGAAAAGAACTATCTCCATAAGAATGGACCACGTTTTATTTTTTTAAAAGGACTTTTAAGCAGTGATCGGACTTTAAAAAAATTCTGTGTGGTAGAATTTGGAAAAAAATGTGGTAGATTTCAAAAAAATGTGGTAGATTAAAAAAAAATGTGGCTTTGGATCAAACTTTGTACAAAAATTAAAAAAATTCTGCAAGGTTTCACCCAAATGGCAAACTTTTTAATTGGACTCTAAAAAAATTTAATTTTAGTATAAGAAAGTACAAGATTGAAGTTGTTAAAAATTGCGTTAAGTTTTGGCAATGTTTTTCCTTGCCAGTGTAAAGCAGCACCTTCCATATTCAGATATTTTTCGAACATATTTTAAGAGATTTCTGCAACCTTGCGGAGCGCTGCCAGCTTTTCTTTTTATTACATCACGAAGTAGCGAACAAATGTGGCACGTTCCAGAAACAACTAATTGGGATTTGCCGATTTTTACAATTTTCAAGTAAAAGTAAACAACGCCTCAGAAACCTTACATACACTTAAATTTGCTAATACTTTCACAAAAAAAACGCCGTTTTTTAACATTTTCGCTATTAATTCTTTTTATAAATCATATATTTTGCAATTTAAAACAATAAAACCGCGTTTTCTGTCGAAAAATTGATTACTGAGAAAATTTACTATTTTACAGTTTATTTATCCTCCCATTCGTATTTGTTTACTTTTACTTGAGAAATTTCATCGTCGCCGGGAATGCGGAATCTTGTATTATATCATTTTTGTTACCATATAGTGTTTAGTTTTGGACAATTTTTGCACTTAAAATTAAGAAAATTATGTCAAGCAAAAATAAAACTACTCAAAAACCCGAATATGTGGTAGATTTCAGACCTTGAGTGGTAGATGCTCAAAAAAGTGGCAGATCTACCACAATGTGGTAGAAGTCCGATCACTGCTTTGAAGTTTAAAAAATGTGATTGATTCAAAAAATAATTTTAAAAATTCAGTGCAATATAGAATAACAACTTTTGGTACCCATATTCTACATTGCACTAATTTTTTTAAATATATATATATTTTTTTAATAATCACATCTTTAAAATTTCAAAGTCCTACTTTGCTATATTTGGCCCATATTTTGTAAGTATATTGACTGTTTCGTGTGATTTGAAATTTATTTGTTTTTGTCGCACAGTGTTATCGGATAAGCGTCTCGAAACATTAAGCGAACTTCTATAGAGTGTGCTTGGTGTCGTGGCAGCTGTGGTGTAAGGAGAGTGTACTTCATCTTAATTCCGCCGTGATCTAAATGGAACGTTTTGCGAGGAATTACAAGGTACATCTTTTCAGCCACCTTCTTTCAATGCAGTGAAGCTCATACTCTATACCGAGGTTAAATATGTACTACCTCGATGTAATCCTCGACAACAAGAATCTGAACCTGATGGACCGTTTCAGGAAGCCATAACCGCATAGTAGATGGGATCATCCTCTTCTATGCGGTCATCGTATACTGATAGGCCCCAAAATAAACTTTTCTACTAACTAAAACTAAACTAAAACTTTTTCTTATCGACCTTTACGGGGTAGGTTTCAGAATAGCCGTAAGTCTACCAAATTGAACGCAATTCATAACTGGACAAACATTCCAGTAACAAGAATACACCAGTACTCTTTTCTGCTTCGAAGCCGGGTTTTTATTGGAATTGGGGAGAGAAGCGCATGTGAATAGATCCGGCCCTATCGTAATTTTTATTGGTGGCTCAACATACATAGGTAGCTTTCCTTCCTCTCAGTAGTGCCCCAAGCTTTTCATGTTCTTCTATAAACCTTTATTCTGGCTGTTTAGTTGCGACTTGATCCTTGCCCTGCTACAACAACTCTTCAATGTAGTAGAACTCTAAACGAGTTAGACGTATGGGTTCCTGGGCATAGTGAAATATACGGCAATTGCGTATCAGACGAGCTCGCTAGGATGGGCGCGAACCTACGCTTACTTAGTTAACTCTGCGCGTGGGCGATTAACTTGGTTTTACCAAACAGGTGTTTAAATATTTTTTTGATTTTTCGAATACCGAGTAAACCGGTTTTTTACAATTGAATAAACCGGGGAGAAAAGAAAAAATCTAAACAAAGAAGGGTGTCTGTAATGGAAACAGCAGGCCTGAAGGCTTCTTCACCAAAAAGCTTCATGCAGGTATCCTTGGGAAGATACCAAGGTTGGAAATATATGGAATCTCTATTCCATGACTAACGAGGTCTGCTTTAGCAGAAAGTTCCAAAAGATAATACCCGATCACGAAGATTCGCAAATGGGCTCCCTGCACTTTATCTCAGATACGTACACTGGTACACAGACGGTTTAAGGATGGAAGACAAAGCAGGTGCATATATTTTTGGATCTACTTGTAAACTTGTAATTCCCATGGGCAAATGGTCCACAGCGTTTCAGGCTGAAATAGTCGCAATTTTAAACTATGCAAAATTAAACCTTGTGTTTGAAGGGCAGCTTTCCTGTTATCTTTTCAGATAGCCAAGCAGGCATCAGCACCCTTTCAAATAGGACTATGAAATCCAAGCTGGTTAGAGACTGCTTCGACACGCTACAAATTTTGGTAGCCAAAACAGTGAGGAAAAAGCTAGAGAACACATTCGCCTGTACCCCAAGTCGTTTCAACTTTCTTGCTTTGCTTTTGACATATTTGTAGTTTTCAATTTAAAGATCCAAAAACTTGAATTCAAGAAAATTGAAGAGTGAATAATCCTAAAATTCTCGGAGTAACATTCGACAGCCTGCTCTCCTTCTCTGCGCACGCAACCGCTATTGTCAATAAAGTACAGAGCCGCAACAAAGTCCTCAAGTCGCTAGCCGGCAGTACTTGGGGCAAAGACAAAGAAACGTTGCTGGCAACATACAAGGCAATAGGCCGGCCGGTTTTAAACTACGCAGTGGACAAAGCTACAGACGGTACAAAATACAGCACTTAGGACAGCGACTGGATGCCTCCTGATGTCACCAGTACACCACCTCCACAACGAGGCGAAAATGCTCCCTATTAGGGAGCACAACACGATGCTCTGCGAGCAGTTTCTTGCTGGGAGCCACAGATGTGGCCACCCAAATAGACAGCTGCTTGCAGAGGAGCCCTCGCCGAGGCACGTCAGGCGGCATCTATATGAACTGACGGACGAAGTCCAGAGGTTCATTAAGCAACCTCTGGACCCGTCAGCTCACAGACAGGCCCTGAACGGCATTCACAGGGATGCAGTCTCGAGTTATGTAGACTCAAGACCTGTGAATGCCGTCCTAGGCACACAAACATCGGGCATTGACGCGACGGAGCTCCATCTGCCTCGGGAGACCAGTACAACAATAGCCCAACTTCGCTCTGGCTACTGTAGCAGGCAAAATTCCTACCTGAGTAGGTTAAGTGCGGATGTGCCTAACGAATGCGGAGAGACCCCTCACGACTCGAAACATCTCTTCGCATGCCCGGAAAACTCCACAACCCTAACGGCGTCGTCCCTATGGACCGACCCCTTAGAGGCTGCACGCTTCTTGGGGCTGCCGTTAGTGGAACCTGACGACAACGACTGAGATATTGGCCTATCTGGGCGGGGTTGTTGTAGCCGCTACAACAACAACAACAACAGTGTAAAAGCACATAAAAACACAAAAGGGGATAAACAAGAGTTGCTTTCAAGTATAAAGTTTAATTACATAAGCCGGGTGTTAAGGCAGACTCAGGAAAAGACTAGCTCCGGCGTGTTTGAGCCGTAGAGAGAAAGAGAGAGAGAGAGAGAGAGAGAGAGAGAGAGAGATGTTAGATGAGCTGATTCAGTGATGGGACATATACAGAGGTGGTTAGTGTCGCCTGGGCATCTTATTCAAATTGGGCTGAACAGCTTAACCTGCTACAATATTGAGAATGGAGTTGTGTCTCTGGTAATGGTTGACGAATGTGTTGATTGATAATCGATGAATGGTCCGTCTAGAATACTATATTTGTATAGTCGGCCTGGTTTAACGGGTGCTGGATTCTCATACTCAAGGTAGTCGGTTCTAAATGCTCGAGTTTCTCTATACAAGGACTGTTTTTTAGCGATTTAATCTTGTTAAGATTGGGGTTACCGACCCCATTTTTCACAAATTTTTTCGTTTTTACTTGTAATCTAAAATACTTTGAACTTATTTTGTCTGATTGATTTCTAAATTAATAATAGTAAAATTCTAACTAACAGTTAGTATATTCTCTACATGTAAAATAAAACCGGACTTTTCGGTATTTTATTAACTTGAAAACCGGGAACGTTTTTTTTTCAAATTGCAAATTTTCCAATAACTCGAAACTCGGTTTTCTACAAACTCTTTATAACGAATTTTTTTTTTGGGAAATTAGCGAATAAAAGCTTGAACGATTAGGTCACATTCAAAACATAGCCAATTCGTCGACAACATTTAGCTCCAAGGCTCTCCTGCTAAAGCTAAGCAAACATTACAAGGATTGTAGCCAATGCGATCGACGCCCATCGACTAGATATAGTAATCCAGAATCGCGGAAGATGCTGTCCAGAAGAGTGAGAGGAGGAAACATTTCTGCACCTACTTTGCCAAAGTTGTGTGTAGATTTGATATGCATGTGGCTAGGATAAAAAGCTCACTCTGGTCGACGCTGATCTAGACAAAAAAAAAGTTTATTGGGCTAATCAAGGCTATTGGTAAATATTTGCAAAGTACAAGGTAGTTTTAGGTGAGATCAGCGTTATTTATCCACACTTCATCACAGTGGATCTATGTATATTTCAGCGAGAATAGTTTATTTTTTTTTTCAAAACCTTTGAAACCGCTTTGATTAGCGGGCGACCGGTAATTGGAACATCACTACAAAGCAGAGAACGACCAAAGCTAATTCATTTATTTTTTTAAAGCCAAGTCTGTTTCGAACTGGATCGAAAGAAATCAAGCCTAAGATTGCTTAAAAGCAAATGAATTAACATAATTAAAGCCGGCAAAAACTCAACATACTGTCGATCAAGGGTAAAAATACGCACAATTACAAGTAGCTTGAAAAGAAAGTTGCTTGTTGCAGTTCTCTGTTACCAAGGATTTATACGACTAGTTACTAACTAGTTTAACTAGTTTTTTTTTATAGTTTTCTTTTAATGAACTACAGTAGTTGCAAGAATTTATATGTAAATTTTAATGGAAGTACCGCTAACAGTCTTAATGTTACATGGTTGCAGCAGAATAAACATATAACATACTTTGGGAGCTGGCATCCTCGTCGAAGTCATCGTCGAATGGATCAAATGGACTGGAAGCTCTCTTTCTCCTTGGCATTTTTGCACTTTAATGGAATTCACTTTTTTGCAGTTTTACTATAAACAGTTTAATTATAGTGCTTATAAAAGGTACAGTTAATTAACAAATTTATATTTGTACGGGAGTTATATTATGTTATAACGCATTCGCAGTCTGCATTTAATTTTCACAAGTATTTCCTTGTTTATCAACGCCCGGTGTTATCACAGATTTTCATAGATCACAACCGTTATACACAAACATAAAACTAATTATTCCGTAGGTGTGGCAACCGACCGTAACGAACCGTATACTATGCGTTTCTGGTATAAGATCTTAGAATAACTTAGTATTTACGCTCATCTACGCAACTGAGTGGTAAAGAAGCGATCAAAGGACTATTTTTAGAGCATTGTGGGTGGAGCCTACATACTCGTACATACATACATACCTACAAATGTATACTTTATACATACATATATACATATGCAGTAGCAGTTTTTTTTACTCATAGATCTTTAAACGATCTCATTGGTAGGAAGCTAGCTGAAATATAGACAAATAGGAGTCAGCCATAGCTATTGGAAAAATAAACACATTAAGAAAATTTGTATCCATGTTTGTATGCAATTGTAAGAACGAATTGCCAAAGATGCTGTCCATCTGGATTCGTTCATTTGTAAACACGAATTTGTTGGAGTTGTGGAAAAGAAACAGTTTTATTAGAAACGTTTTTTGAAGATGGTATTTTGTGAAAAAACAAAAAATATTAGCAGACGTTTCCTCGAGAATCTTAGGTGACTACCATGATCCCTGACTAGATTCATTGGAAGCTACGCAGTTGAGAGACCATTAAATCTCATAACGGTTTCCTTAAAGCTAGCAAATTTGGCTCGATTATCAACACATCACTGCCAGAAGTCTGATACCTATGCTTTGCAATGGCGGAACAATTTTCCGTCGTATTATCCTCTTTAAGGCAAGAAAGGCAACTGGCCAATCACAATCAGTTACGTAAACCTACCTACCTCTTCACTTATTTCCATCATGTAGTTAATGACCTTGAATATAGACAACTACCAAGGCTTAGAAAATCGAAGAATAATCCACAAAAGAAAAGTGAAGCTTATCACTATTTATCTCAGATATTGAATCCAGATACCGACTCAGTGTTAGTTTTGGAGCCATAAATAAAGATTCGACAATATGTAACCATGGCTCTTTATTGGGATTAAGCTAGCAATCAGCCTCAGGGAACTCTACATTGCAGAATCGCCTAAGCAAAAGTGATGGATCATTGAAAATATTCAGATTTCTGTGACCGGCAATTATCGTCTCGTTTCACTCCATATCATACCTACATCCTTTTCTGATAAGCATGCTGGTGGTCTTTAAAGCCTTTTCACTTTTCTATTTTCAGGACCCCTCGCTTCAAAATTGATTCAGATAAACAAAAAAACGCCTATGTTCTTGAAATTTCGATTAAAATATTGTCTTTTAAATGATGAGTGGCATTTTTTTTATATTCAATATGTCGGACACAGCTCTGAAAAATTATTGGATTCACTTGAAATTTGTTCCTTGGGAGTTTTTCAGAGGTCGCTGATTACGAACATGATCATACATTTTTAAAATTCAAAATGGCGTATCTAATATGGCGGATACATTTTTGATAATAATTCAGCTGAGAAGCAAAATCCATTAGTTACTGAAATATGTAGGTATGTATAGTAGTTTCTTGCGTTTTTCAAAAATACCGTCGTATGGAAGGTAGTCGCACTTACAGTCCGATTTCGCCCATTTTCGATACCAGCCTACATATCGCTAGCTTAGAGTGCAAAGTTGTTAAGCAAGACATTGACAGTTTGAGAAAGTGCGATTTCGCGGCTTTAATGAATTTCAGTACGTCATAAAGAGAGAGGCAACTTTATTCTAAAACATTCTGCAGGAATGGCTTACATAGTGTCTTTAGCCTCATTCTTGCAAAGGCCGAACACTCGCACAGGAAGTGTTCGACTGTCTCTTTTGAGCAAAAGTCATCGCAACTACGACACCAACGGGCCAGTGCCCTGTGCACACTGCAGTAAGCTAGTAGGTATCTTCTTTGCTCATTCCTAAGAGAGCTTTGGTATAAGTGGGTCGTAGGACACCCCGAACTGCAGGGTAATCCTGTACGATCCTGTACGGTTCCACCTCTGCTCAGCCTTCGAGTAATAAATTTTGATAATTTTTGCTTTTATCTCCCTGAGCGAAACGCCCATTTAAGAAAAAATTATAGGGATTTTTTTGGTAAAAAATTTCGCACTAAATTTAAATGGTTGTAAATAAAAAAAGCAAAAATATGCAAAAACCACATGCATTTGTTGTAAAATATAATACTGAACTATAAATATGCAAAAACAGTTATATGATTATATGATATTAATATGAAAAATCATGCATTTACTGAACAATATGCACCAACGATGAATGCCATTTTAAAGGAAATTTCATGATTCGCAAAGGAAACTTAACAATTTCAATTTGAACATGCCCAATAAAAACATGCATTTTCATGAGATTCCGAGCCCTACACATAAAAATACACATGAAATATTTAAAATCGCAAAAATTTTGAAATAAATTTTTTACTAATAATAAATATTAAGGGTTCATATTTACTCAATTTTTAACATTTAAAGTGCAATTTTGCTCTAACCAACAAATTTCGTATGTAAAAGTAAACACACAGTGTTTAATTTTATTAGACGGTGTGTAAATTTGCACACATTAGGAGAGGAAACTGGTTACCTCTTTACATGCGTAAATTTGAAAAAAAAAATTTTTAAAGCAAATTTTAAACATTTTTTTTTTATTTTACTGTGAAATTGTAAACAATAAATGTTTAGAATTCAACAAACAAATTTGGAAACAATGTGTTTAATTTAATTAACACGGTGTGTAAATTTGCATTCATTGAGAGCGGAAACTGGTTACCTATGTTAATTTGCGTAAATTTAAACAAGTATTTTTTTAGAGGGTGACTTCCAAAAAGTGTAAAGTTAAATACCACTTAAAACCACATCTATCTGTATATAAAAAGTAGCTTTTGAGGTTTATTATGAGGATAAATGAAAAACTTTCGGTTTTTATAAAACATTTCAGAAATATAAACAGCTATATAAAACCGAACACATTTTACAGAAAAGTGCATATTTCAGATCGAATTCGCTAAATTAATGCTAGGAAATTTGGAAGTGTTGTTTTCAACTAAGCCTCAATCCTCTAACTATACGTGTAAACTATTATTTTTAATTTTTTGATCGGATTACGCATTTAGATACAATAACCCAAAATCAATGGGCAAATAACTAAACCGTAAAGTAAAAATAGCCAAAATATTCTAAGCAATGAGAAAGGAAAAAGAGCCGCACTTTGCTAAGCAAAAGGCCGCATTTGCTTCAAAAAGACCCGCGTTTTCCCGCCGTTGGTATATGCATACATGTCAATGGATTCCAGTTAAAATCATTTGGCTACTGTCTTCTTACATATACATATACATACTATATTGCTTCTTTAGCTTTCCTGCTGGGCTGCATAATACAAACTGTGTATGCTTTTTCTTTATCAGTTTTCGATAACCTTTGCTGAAATTGAGCATAACAGCCTTTGCTATTCTAAATCGTTGAAATCGCTACTTGTATACATGTGTAGAACATAAGAAAGTTTAAGCTATGCTTAATTATAAGTTTCGAAATTTGTTGTATTCAGTTCGAATCGGTAACGTAAATAACGCGCATCTCAATGTTGAAGCTTAGCAGAAATGCAATATTGCATGGAACGACGAGCCTTTCGTCGAGCACTGCAGCATCACAGCGCTTCCATAGTGCTAAGACAGAGTATACTGTGCCACAAATACCTACGACGGCAGATGTGGTTATCATTGGTGGCGGTTCGGCAGGATGTCACACATTGTATCACTTGGCAAAGCGAGGGGTGAAGGCGGTGCTGTTGGAGCGTGCCAAGCTAACAGCTGGCACCACCTGGCATACGGCCGGTTTGATTTGGCGTTTACGGCCAAATGATGTGGATATAGAATTGTTGAATAATTCACGAAATATGCTGACACAATTGGAACAGGATACAGGTTATGATCCGGGCTGGATTCAGAATGGTGGCATATTTATTGCCCATACGGAAGTAAGAAACTAGTGTTTTCTTTAAGTGTTTATGCTATATTTGTGCTGTTGTGTTGTGTATACAAACATACATACATATTAACTACGTACATACATATGTATCTCCTTCTACCAAGCAACATTTTTATATTTAGCTAAATACTAACTCCATTATGGCTCATCAAAAATTAATTAAAATTCAATAGGCTTACTGAAATCGGTGCCGATTGCTAATATAATATGTTGGAAACAAACAATTTATAAAATACCACGCCGATGCTGTTATCAAGACCTCTGACTATGTACAGCAGCCAAATATTGGCAGTCAACACAGCACAACAAAGTTTTTGAATATTCTATCAGAAGAGCGATCGGTGCGATTCTAAATCCTTATTCTTTCACGAAACTTACTCACACATACATATGTACATGGGCGTACGCAGGTACGGGCTGGGAGGGGGCGCAAGCTACCATCGATGAACATCGAGTGTACGGGGTTTTCAAGCATCTCTAAACCACCTAGTGGATTAATTCGTCTTTCATATTACATTGTCACCGGGTTTTGCGCAAAGTTTAAAGTTTCAAGTCTTTAGCTCATCGGGAAGTTGTTTAGAATTGATAGCAAATTTCCAGAAGATATATTAAGTTAAGTTAAATAAAAGCTTGTAAAAGCGTAACACTTTTATTCAGTTGCATTATCATAAAACTATTAAAAAGAGATAAAAGAAAATATATTTTGATTTTTGTTTAGAAAGGTTATAAACTAGAAACTGATATTATATAATTTTACATGCGCAGAGGTGTACAAAAGAAACATCGATAGTTGCCATCAACCATCGAATTTAACAAAAAATACAAAAACATCGATGCATCAATAGTGCCATCGATGTTTTCTCCACCGCTAGATCTCATATCAGTAGTGAGCAAAAAGAGCTCACCCTCTGTGCGCGTCTATTTAAAATAGAGACCTTAAAAAGAGCTCTGCATGAAGTGAAGGCGCCGCTCTTCTCTTTCTTAAGAAGCATATGATGTAAAAGTTCTCTCTGATCGTCACTGAATCAAATGAACATACATATATGTACATTTGTATACCTATTGTCTGGCGGAATAATCGAGGTTAAAAGGCCCGGTTGGCCGATAAATC